AATTTTAATAATTTTTAATGTAAATTAATTAAAAATATATATTTATTAAATTCTTAATTTATATATATTTTTTAACAAATAGTAATTATTTATAAGTGTTAATTGAGGGATGAAAAAAAGGATTCTCTGATATTTGAATACGCAACTGAAGTGAATGGTCTTAACCTAATATTCATACTACTGGTCAAACGAGCTATTCTTTTAATTTATATTTTTAAAATATAAATTAGATAAATATTTTATATTTTATAATTCAATGTAATTTAAATAATAAAATAAAATTTTTATAAATGTTTGCAATTAAGAGTCTGTTTGGTGCAGATTGTGAGAATGACTTTTTGGCTCTAAAAGCACAAGTTGCACCAAACGGGTTAGCTTCCCAAACTTGCTACGGCTTTTGAGAAGCTCAACTTCTCGCCTTTTCTTTGCAAAGCCCGAAACTCTCATTTCTTACTTCCGCGGAAGCTTCTCGCTTCTAATTTAATGAAATTGATATGGTCTTTCCATTTTATCCTCACACTTCCCTTTATTTACGGAAAAAACTAGTATATAAAGGATCAATTTATAACATCAAACCAATCAGCCCCAGGCACATTTGTTTCTTCTTCCTCATCCAATCACAAAAACAAATCGAAAATATTCATCCAATCACATAAACAAACCAAAAATACTTAACTATATTATTCCTCATCCAATCAAAGAAACAAACCGAAAATACTTACTGTATTCTTTCTCATTTTCTTTCCCCTTAAACCGAAAATCCCCTCAGCTTCCGTTTGGAGACGAACCCAGGAGCTAGGTTCGTGCTGCGGTGAACCACGTGCTTGGGTTCCAACACGAACCCAACGCCTGGGCTCTGAGACGAACCTAGGAGCTTGGTTCGTCTCGAACCAGGCGCGGGTTCATCGCAAACCCTTCCCCTGGGTTTCGAGACGAACCCAGGCGCGGTGTTCGTCACGAAACCCAGGAGCTTGCTTCGTCGCAAACTCTTTCCTTGGGTTTCGAGACAAACCCAGGCGAACCCAGCTCCTGGGTTCCACGACGAACCTCGTGCCTAGGTTTGCGCGAACCCGAAGGTGAAAAAAAACAAAGAAAAAAACAGCAGAGGAATAGGAATGGGAGAATAATAAGCTTTATAATATTTATATTAATAATTATATAATTAAATAATTTTAAAGTTATATTAATTAAAAATTTAATCATATTAT